TGGTGACCAAACTAGTGAGCCTCAAAGATGAACCAACAGTGTTCTTCATTGAAGAATCATTCTGGCCGGAGTTACATATGTGACCCATTTCTGACGTACTCCACTTCAGATCAGCGAGCTGCACTCAAAGACTCACCAATTTCGATGATCTTCAGTTAGACCCAAAAGCTGCTTCAACACCATTAGCTCCGGCGAGCTTCGTTCAACAATTCGGCCAACTTCAGGCGTGAATTGTAGTGACCAAAAGCTTCAATCTGGTGACAATCAGTTCGGTGAGCTTCAATCTTAACATTCAATCATTTTTTCTTCACGAAATCGACAATAATCGAAGCCTTTATCAGCAATGAGATTTTTATCAGCCTTGTACTCTTGATTAGGCCAGTAGTTTCCCCGGCCTCATGGTTGTCTTCATCATTTATCGATGATAAAATCCGAACGTCAAGTTCTACTCCTTGAAGTTCCACATTCTCTTCAACCCGCAATGGTAGTTGTGCATCTGGTTATGACGACCTTCCGGAGTATATGTCGTCACTATTAGAGGAACCTTGCCTTGAGCCTTCTCTTTATGATATTTTCCCAAATTTTTAGGACAAACATTGTATGTGTTGGGTTGAATTTGTTGTTGTCACCCTATTACTCTTCATGTATCAATAATATTGCAATTTTTTTTTAGGCATTGGTTTTTACTTCAAATGCATTTTGTTAATATATATATATATATATATATATATATATATATATATATATTTTCAGTTTTGTCGTTGTGGTTTTTCTTGCATCTTGTTTTCCTGTTGCAAGCTGCTGCTTTATTTTTACTTCAATTGCTACCTATTTTGCCTTTTTTTTTTTTTTTTTTCCTGCCTTATTGCATTTGGATTGCAATTTTTTTTTAGGCATTGGTTTTTACTTCAAATGCATTTTGTTACTATATATATATATATATATATATATATATATATATTTTTCAGTTTTGTCGTTGTGGTTTTTCTTGCATCTTGTTTTCCTGTTGCAAGCTGCTGCTTTATTTTTACTTCAATTGCTACCTATTTTGCCTTTTTTCTTTTTTCTGGCTTATTGAATTTGGATTGTTCATGTATTTAGTAATTACTGATGTTTTGAAATCCGTATCAAAATGTTTAGGCATTCAAGTAGCCCGTGGGTCTGTTTTTCTGGGCCTTTTCTGTTCAATTGAAGCAGCGGGAGGGAGGGAGAGATGAATTGGGTTTGGGGTCCTTAAATGCACAAATAGTGAGGGACAAAATGGAAAATAAAAGGATAAAACGAAATTTTCAATTTTACTTTTGTAAAAAATTATCAAAGGAACCAGTTATGCAGCTTTTCAAAAAATAAGAACTTATTTGTTACAAAATTTATATATCAATAATTTGTTTTTCACTTAACCCTTTAATAAAATATTTAAAACAAAATTATTCCAACAAATCAAGTTACGAAGAACCCTACACAGAAAAAGAGAATTATCATCACTTAATTATCCGAGCACCAACTCTCAGCCCATTTCTATCCATCTCGGCTCGCTCTCTCTTTAATTCTCAAATTTTTCTCTTCTGTTTGCTTATCAAACAACAAGCCAGATGCTAAAATATAAATAGAGGAAATCTCACCGACACAACAATTATCATTACATTTGGTACCAAAAAATCACATTAGTGGGACCCGCCTATTCCCACTTGCAGCTGACAGTCCCTTCTTTTCTTCTCTCTTATCCCATATGATTCGTACAACCTGCCCTTTCTACTCATTGTCGGCTGGGTGCATCTCCTTTTCCATCAGACAAGAAATATAAATATATATATTTATTTATTTATATCATCAAAAACCAATTCAACCCATCTTTATAATTCAAATGAGACCCGCCAAAATATCATCAAAATCTCTTTTTCTCTATTTATTTCGGCACTGCTCCCTTTCTTTTCTTTTCAATTTCGGCGGGCAGAATCCATTTTGCTTCCTATCTCTTCAGATGCAACTTAATTATATATCTTATATATATATATATATATATAAGAAAAACTCTCAAGCGGTAAAAAAGGCGGACTATTGAGCGATCTTTCAAGCGAAGTCTATTTTTAAGACTTAAAATCTATATTGGTGGACCGCTTTTAAAAGGGTGGCTCTCTATTATGTCTCTCTCATCTCTGTCTCTCCAACCTAACTTCAGCTACGGGGAGATCCGGCGAGTAGCTACCGACAACGCAGCAACCCACGGCCGGAAAACACACACCCACGTGTTCGGCGACACGTTTTCTTTCTTTCCTTTTCATTTGTCATTTTTTTTTTCCTGCCGGTGAAGAAGCAATCCCACGGGCTCTGTAGAGATGAGAGTTGGTGAATTAGATTCACAGGCGGACACAGAGGGGGGCTTGGGTGGGCTTGAGCCCCAAAAAAAAAAAAATTTTAGTATTGTATTTTCAGCCTAATTTTTAAAATTTTTTTTTTTTAATAGTAGTATTAGTCCCTGTTTAACCTATTCAAAAAAAAATTACTTATGAAATTGTGTAATTAAATTTATGTTCAATACTAGCTCCAATAAATAATTCTTGGATTCGCCCTTAATTAGATTTGGGGTTTTTTTAGGATTCGACATCAATTGAATACTCCGATGATCAATCAAAAGAAGGGAAAAAAAGTGATAACGAGAGGGGAAAGGGTGTTTTGCTGAGTAAGGGACTAGGGAGAAGGGATGTGCGCATGAAGAGAGGAAAGGTTTGCGCAGATTAGATTTCTGAACGGCGACGATGACAATGAAATTTCTACAACGAGCCCACACAGGCAGTGGATAGATGGTAATAACCGTATGAAGTATTCTTACCGGCAAGCATGGAGTCCGGCAAAGACAACGACGGTAAGAGCCGAACAACCCGGACTGCCGGTAGCCAAGGATGAATCGCACCGGAGTTTTGTTTTAACCGGTGATGCAAGGAAAGTGACAAAGCAAACAAAGTCTACGCCAAGAATTGGGTTTGGTTTACTCAGTCGTTTCAGTGGACCCACCAATATGGATTTAAAGTCTTAAAAATAGACTTCACTTAAAGACCGTTCAGGAGTCCCTTTTTTTGAACAGTCTAAGAGCCTCACTCTTTATATAACTTACATCCCTTTATATAACCTACATGCTGATGCTCACGATTTCGATGTATATAAATATAAATATAAATGCAACCACTAAATCAATTCCATTTACTATGTCAAGTGGGACCCGCAATAACAAAACCTATTTCCAGAACATTCATCTCTAATTTCGGCACCTGATCACCTCAACATAAATATAAATATATATATATATATAAGGGAACAAAATCAAATTGAACCAATTAATCTCTTCCATCAGTCATCATCACCAGTATATGTATATACTTACATTATCAACATTTCAAAATGAAACTTCATCAAACCACTAATTTAATGAATAAATAATTAAATAAAATTAATTTTCTAAAACCAACACTAAAAAACAAAATATCAGTAACTCAAAATTTTTAAGTCAACAAATCTCCAATATAAAATTAAATACTCAAATTTGACAACCAAAAATTATGAACTAATTAAATTTTAAATTTTAAAATTAAAAAATTCAGATTGTCACAAATCAAATCATCCTTCTATTTTCGTTTTTCTCACTGATTTGTAATGGAATTGAGTATATTTTCCCCAAATCCTCCTATCCAAAAGAGGACTTAATGAAAGAAATAAAGAAAAGAAAGTAATTATATTTGATACAAAATTATTTTAATAAATTACAACCATGACTTTTTCATAAGTTTTGTCTTTTACCATAAAAAAAGTAAATTTAGTATTAATAAAGTTGACATTTCATTTCTCATTATTCATACCTTATTAATAATGGTTTACCAAATGTAGATTAAATATGAAGTATGATCAAACTCAAATTTTAAAAAAGTAAGACACAATACCACTAATATAAATATATATTTTAATAAATAGGACAATTATAACTTTATAATTTTTATACTAATGTTACATGAGTTTAAAGGTGAAATTATATGAATACAAAATTAAAAAATATTATATTATATATGATACTACTATTTTTTAATTGTTATTGTATTTTTTATTTATTTTTTCATATTACAAACTGTATTACAGTGTAATGTAAAATTTAAAATGTGTAGATCAATTGTGCAAAACAGCCCAAGAGTCTTGGGCCTCTTGGCCAAGGGTTAAAAATAAAAAATAAAATCATTAAAAGAAAAAAAGGTATTGAATACGTCTCTTGTTCGTAAAGTATTGGTCTAACACGGCACATGTTTTTTTTAGGTTTTCTACACTTCATAGATCTATAAGCCAACTTACCCCTCTAAACCCGCATCTGAGGTAACACCCAATTCCCTCTGGGCAACCAAATTCATTATGTGATCAATCCATGAGAAAATTGAGGCATTTAACACAAAACACACATATATACACAACAACCCAATTCATAAAACATCAAATTAATTCAAAAAGTGATAAGCATGATAAAAAATATCAAAAAATAAAGAAAATGCTAGTATTCTTGTTTGTATAAGATAAATGAAAAAAAAATGACAGTAATTGAATTATTATCATACCTTTCGTTTATAATTTTAGATGTGAGTTTTTAAACCAATGCTATAATTTTGGAGGCTAATTTTGGCATTATAAAAGTATCACTAATCCACTTTCCTTTCCCTCCGAATCTTCTAATTTTTTTGAGAAATACAATATGACTTCCCCAATCATTTCTTTTCACCTCAAATCAGCCAATCCAAACATAATATTCTCTATCTTTCTTTTCTTTCCCTGTCCCCCAAATCCTCCTATCCAAGCGAGGCCTTTGATGGATGTATAATTTAAATACCCGGGGAAGATTGTTAAAGTAACGCACTATCTCATAAGATTGAGATAGGCTTTACAGACTAAGATAAAGATTAGAGATTACGATAAGGATTACAGACTAAGATAAGGATTACAGATTACGATAAGGATTAAGCCTACAAATTATGATAAGGATTAAGACGACGGGAACTTTACGTGACATCCTGACGTAAGCCCTATAAATAAAGGGGGCTAATCGACGTTTTGAGTATGCAATAAATCCTAACTCAATTTCTTGATTTCTCCAGAGAGAAATTACTTCGTACACTGACTTGTTCGTCGGAGCCTACTCCACCAGTAACACACCTGTGTTTGTAGGATCACATTTTCTTCTCTTTGTTCAGGAAGTCAGATCAGATCCGGGTTTTGCAAAATCCATCATCAACAATTGGCGCCGTCTGTGGGAACTTATTTTTGTTCTCTAAACAAAGCATGGTTCGTTTGCGATCTAGTCTGGTTGCTGGCGAGGACGAAACGTTGCAGGTTTCTGATTAAAGGGACTCGACGGGGCAACCCCCCGTCGTCCCAAACGATCAGGAACGCGTCGTAGCGTTGGAACAACTGGCGAACCAGTTAGTTCAACAAAATGCGATGATTCTACAACGCTTAGCAGCCCCCAACGAGGAGAGAAACAGTGAAGTACCCGTAGGGTTAACAACGACTCCCGTAGGGTTAACAACGACATTGAGTTAGTCAAATAGGGGGTCAACAGAAGAGCCATCAGCATCGGTCCCCTGAACGGAATACCACCAGGCTCTTGGAGATACTTCTAGTTATGTTGGTGACAAGACTGAGGATGTCACTCATCTCGATCTAGAGATGCAGGATCTGAAAGCTAGGGTTGACGATGTTATGCAAACGATTCAAGGGAAGGGCCAAGCTGCAGTGAACGATATGGTACAGAAGACCAACCTAGCTTTTAGACTAGCTGTTATGAGTTGTCCTCTACCTAGCAAATTCAAGATGCCAACTATTGAGAACTTCGATGGGACGCGGGACCCTCTCGACCATTTAGAGACCTACAAAGCTCTTATGTATTTGCAAACCGTACTGGACGAGATTATGTGCAGGGCTTTCTCTACCACACTAAAGGGTTACGCTCGTCTCTGGTTCAATAAATTAAAGCTAGGTTCCATTGAAAACTTTGAAGAGTTAAGCAAACAATTTATAGGACATTTCATTATTGGGCAAAAGCATAAGAGACCAGCAACACATTTACTGAATGTGAAGCAGCAGAAGGGAGAGCCTCTTCGTGATTACATAAGTCGTTTTAACACTGAAATGCTGCAAGTAGAAGAGGTGGACGACAAGGTTGCCCTCACAGCCTTTATAGGAGGACTACAGACTTCGAAGTTCCTATTTTCCTTATCAAAAGAAGCCCCTACGAGCATGACAGAGTTAATGGTTAGAGTGCGGAAGCACATGAATGCTGAGGATGCTATGAATGCACGAAAAAACAAAGATGGTGAAGATAAGAGGTCGGATAAAAAGAGGTCAACACCTAACACTAGGGAGGAAAGGGAATCGAAGTACAAGAAATTCTCAAATAGCCAAGCTGACAGATCGTCTCGCCGTCCAGTGAGCCCAGGCAGGTTTAATAACTACACCCCCCTAAATACATCTGTAGAGCAGGTCTTTCTGCAGATTCAAGATGACACATCATTGAAATGGTCGCCAAAGCTAAAAGCTGATCTAACAAAGAGGTCTTGAGATAAATACTGTAGGTTCTACCGGGACCATGGACATAACACAGAAGATTGTTTCGACCTCAAAAACCAGATCGAGAACCTTGTTTGTAAAGGTCATTTACGCAAATTCACGATTGGGAATGGAAAATGAGGCTCCAACGCTGCCCGAGAGGGCCGAGATGATCGCCCTCCTCAACACCAACCAATGGGTGAGATCAGAGTTAAATCGGGTGGCTTCACTGGTGGTGGGGAGACGAGTTCAGCTCGGAGGGCTCATGTTAGGAGAATTCGGAATTTTTCAGAGGTGAATGAAGTTGGAATGACAAGTCCTCCAACAAAATTACCGCGAGTTAAAGGAGCCGGTCATAACCTTTTCTGAAGAAGATGACAAGGGAATTCACCAGCCCCATGATGACCCTCTGGTAGTTTCCATGGTCGTCGCTAATTTCATTATTCGACGAATACTGATAGACAATGGTAGCTCGGCTGACATACTGTTTCTTGGGGTGTACGAGAAATTGAAAATTGGCCGAGAGAAGCTCTGACCCATGAAGTCACCACTGGTGGGATTTTCAGGTAACAAAGTATATCCACTGGAGACAGTTACCTTTCCAGTTACTGCAGAAGCCAATCCAAAGTAGGTCACTGTAATGGTGGACTTTATAGTGGTAGACTGCCCATCGTCATACAACATTATCTTGGGGAGGACAACATTGAATGCCATGAAAGTAATCACTTCCACTTACCATCTCCTGATGTGTTTCCCAACTAAATATGGTATGGGAGAGAGAGCTAAGAGGGGACCAAACAATGGCTTGCGAATGTTATGTCGCCTCTCTCAGAAAAACAAAATCGCAAGAAGCACTTACGATTGAAGGGCTGGAAGGGAGAGATAGGCCAGACTTTCATAGAACGGAACCTATAGAGGAGCTAGAAGAAGTCATCTTTGGTGATGGTGAGCCCGAGAAGAAAGTGAGTATAGGGTCTTTACTCCCCCCAGGTATCAAAGATAAACTTACTCAATTCCTTAGGAAGAATCGAGACGTATTTGTTTGGGCGCATGTAGACATGCTTGGTATAGACCCCATTATCATGGAGCACCGCCTAAATGTAAATCCTAACTTCAAACCTGTCAGACAAAAGAGGAGGACTTTTCGCTCTAGAGATGAATCAGGCTATATCAGAAGAGGTGGAAAAGCTCTTAAAAGCCGACTTTATTTAAGAGGTGTACTACCCTGACTAGCTGGCAAATGTGGTCCCAGTGAAGAAGGCAAATGAAAAGTGGAGGTTATGTGTGGATTTCACTGACCTTAACAAAACTTGCCTGAATGACAGCTTTCCTCTCCCGAGAATCGATATGCTAGTTGAGGGAACGGCTGGACACGAACTACTAAGTTTCATGGATGCATATTCTGGATACAACCAGATGTCCATGTACACCTCAGATAGAAAAAAAATCGCTTTCATCACTGATAGAGATTTGTACTGTTACAAAGTAATGCCTTTTAGGCTCAAGAACGCTGGTGCAACATACCAGAAGCTAGTGAATGCAATGTTTAAGCACCAAATTGGTAGAAACATGGATGTATATGTTGATGACATGTTGATGAAAAGATTTAAAGCTGTAGACCATTTGACTGACTTGCAGGAGACCTTCTAGGTACTTAGGAGGCATAAGATTAAACTCAACCCTAGCAAGTGTGCCTTTGGGGTTTCCTCAAGAAATTTTTTGGGATATATGGTAAGCAGAAGAGGAATTGAGGCCAATCCAAAGAAGATCCGAGCAGTCATTGACGTGAGATCGCCAAAATCAACCAAGGATCTACACGACTAACCAGGAAGATCGCTTCCTTGAGTAAGCTAATCTCTCAGTCAACTGACAGGTGCCTACCTTTCTTTCGTGTGCTAAGGAAGGCTTTTGAATGGACCCCAAAGTATGAGCAGGTGTTCAAAGAACTAAAGTTATACCTTAGTTCTCCCCCACTATTGTCTCGAACCATACAGGGAAAAAAACTATACATATACCTTGCGGTCTCCACGACAGCTGTCAGATCAACTCTGATACGAGAAGAAGAGGGGGTCCAAAGGCCAGTGTACTTTGTGAGTAAAGCACTCAGGGGTGCGGAGAAAAGATATCCAAGGATGGAACAGTTGGCCTTTGCTTTAATTGTGTCCGCCAGGAAATTGAGACTAAACTTTCAAGCGCATACAAAAGTAGTTCTAACAGATCAACCCCTTCGATAGCTCCTACACAAGCCAGAAAGCTCTGGTCGACTGATGAAGTGGTCAGTAGAGTTAGGGGAGTTCGACATTCAGTACAAGCCAAGAACATCAGTAAAGGCTTAGGTGTTGGCTGATTTCTTAGCTGAGTTTACCCCTCCAGAATATGAGATAATTTTCGACAGAACCAGGTTCAAGTGTGTAGATGGGCCCAGAAGTAGTCTGGAACTTATTCGTGGATGGGTCATCTAATGTTTAGGCTAGCGGAGCTGGGCTTGTTCTTGTTTCCCCAGAGGAAGAAAGTATACAGTACGCACTTCGGTTTGGTTTCAAAATAACCAATAATAAGGCAGAGTATGAAGCCTTGATAACAGGAATATGACCTGGTCCTCTTTTATAAGGGTCGCGATACCAAGTCAAGCTTGAAGAGTTGTGTGTGAATTTAGGAGGTGGCCAAGTTTTACATTTATAAAAAGCCACTATTACCTTTCTCTACATAAAATATAGATAGGGTGAGTAGGGATCGTCCCAAGGGATTTGATGGTGTATCGAATTGTGAAACTACAAATCAAGCAAGTATTGTCTAAACATCATGTGAAGAGTACAATATATCTAAATAATAGAGCATATATTGTCTAGACAACATGGGGATAGCACAATAGATCAAAACAAGTCATTAATGCTTCATTAAACTCACAATCCACATACAACACAATATTAGAGGAATATGCCATTTGGACTCACAAGCATGGAACATCAAACATCAAGAGTAGATTGTCCTCCCATCTAACATTATACTACCACTACACTAAATCTACACTACTAGCATGAAAATAAAGCTATCTAGACTAGGGGAGAGGCACAAACCATCAAGAATAGGCATAAACCATCAAATGAACCAAAATAACATTCATTAAGCATATCATCTTGATAATCTTTAGATCTATAGCATCAATACACATAGACATGCATCAAAAACACTAAATCTAGAGATAAGCACATGAATATCCTACTCTAGCATACATAGACATATGGATAGAATAGAATAGTCAATTGGAAGCATTAAACCATACAAACCATGAAATAATCAAGATTCATGAATATCAAGATGTATCATACAACACTAATCCCTCAATAATACACAAGATTAGAGTATAGAAAGCATGCTTGGGGCTAACTCTAGCCCCAAGAAGATGTCTAGCCACTCGTGGTAGTGATGATCCAACCCTCAAGGGCTAACTCCATGGCTGCTCCTTGTTGGTGAAGATCTCATCCAATGGTTGTTCTAGCTTCCTCCCTTCTTCCTCTCCAAGAATAGCCTCCAAAAATGATTTTCAATGTGTGACAAGAGACTCTAGACTTCTCTCCAAAAAGTGTATCATATTCCTTATATAGGTAGGTCAAATACACCCTATGATGAGCTGTGGTCGTGCAAGGCATATTATCCAATGATTGGGTGAAGGACGGAATAAATGAGCTGGACTTTAACTTTTTCTCGCTGGAGGAAGTTCGATCGATCGAACCTTAACTTGGATCGATCGAAGATGGGTTCGATCGATCGAACTGCATCTTGGATCGATCGAAGTGGTCTGACTCCTCCGGATAAGGACAAGGCTGAGATATTTCGAAGATATTTATGGGGAAAAGGACAAAAGTGGTTGGTAGGCGTACAGCTGTGGATAAAATCAATCATTTGAATAGGACAAAATAGGGATCGATCGATCAAAGGTGATGTTCGATCGATCGAACTTGGAATTTCAGCAAAGACCAAGGTTGGATCTATCGAGAAGTACTGTGATCGATCATAGATGTTCGATCGATCGAACTCTAAGTTGGATCGATCGAACTTTTCAGCTGCACAACTTTGATTCCTTTTTGCTCCTTTCTTTCTCCACTTTGCTCCCTCCTTTGGTTTATCTCAGGATTGCTTCAATTAAGCTCTTATTTGGTTGAGTTAGCTTAATTTTGGGATTAGTGCCTGAAAATATAAATAACACGTAATAAGTCTAAAACGGCAAAGTAAGATAGATAAAGGTACTACAATGCTTAAGCTTAACGGGTTTAAATGCGCACTTTTCAGTGCTCATCACACCCCCAAACTTAAATATTGCTAGTCCCTAGCAATGAACTAAAAAGTAAAGGAATGAAATGAACAACTAAACAAGTATAAACTGGAAAGCAAGTAAAATGATAACACCATTTTCGTAGGGAACACGATTGCATTTAGCATATGCAACAAGCCTTTTAAACCCCTAGGTTACCCCTAGTGGACGAGTAAAGTCTCGTGAGGGTTTCCAGAAATGGTACCCACAAATATTAAGCTCATTCTTTCAAAAGAGGCACCAATATTGCAAACAAGCATTGGGAGAAAACTACCTCAAGTATGCAATTTTTCAACCATTTTTAAGCAATCTCCCAAAATTTCAATATCAAGCAAGCAAGCATGGTCCTCCACACATCAAGAAAATGATCATGAAAATCGAAACAAGTCTAGAATCCATGTGAGAGGTCCGGCATCAAGTGTGTTGCTATCTTAGCCAACTAGAGAAGTAATCACATCCTTACCCTCAAACTAGCACACAAATCTAGTACCGATCATCAAGATAAGAGAGTGGACCTTTTATTAAAGCTTTATTTTTCTAGGTGCGCTTATTCTTTTCACTCTATTTTTTTTTTTTCTTTTTTTTATTGAGGATCAAAGATGGAAATATTGTGCAATGTGTTGATCTCTTAAGCTTTCTAGAAGATTCATGTAGCGAGCTTTAGGTTAATGACTCCCAAACCAGATGGCTTTAGGGCATT